AAGAAATCCATGACTATATGGTCATTTAATCTATGACAAAGAAAGCAAGAATATACTTTGGGGTAAAGACAGTCTATTCAATAAATAGTGCTTTGAAAACTGGACAGAAACATGTAAAAAAAAATGAAACCATATGACCTTCTTACTCCATTTACAAGAATAAACTCAAATGGATTAAAGAGTTAAATGTAAAACCCTAAATTAAAAACTCCTAGAAGAAAATATAAAAAATAAACTCACAGACATTACACTTAGTAATATTTTTACTGATATAGCTCCTCAGGCACAGAAACCAAAGAAAAAATAAACAAATGGGACTGATCAAATTTTAAAGTTTTTGCATCACAAAGGAAAGCATCAACAAAATGAAAAGACAACCTACTTAATGGGAGAAGATATTTGCCAATGATACATCTGATAAAGGGTTAATATCCCTTTATATTTATAAAAACTCATCCAATTTAACACCAAAAACATAAACAATTCTATTAACATATTGGCAGAGGATCTCAACAAACATTTCTGTAACAAGGCCATACAGATGACTAATAGACATATAAAAAGCTGCTCAACATCCCTAATCATCAAAGAAATGCAAATGAAAACCACAATGAGATATCACCTCACACTTGTCAGGGTGGGTATCATCAATATATCAACAAAAAAGTGTTATCAAGGATATGGAGAGAAGGGAACCCTGGTGTATTGTTGGTGGGATGACAAATTGGTGCAGCCACTATGGAAAGCAGTGTGAAGTTTCCTCAAAAAATTAAAAATAGAACTACCGTAAGCCTCAGCAATTCCACTCCTGGGTATTTATCCAAAGAAATCCAAAACACTTTCCCATCAAAATCCCAATGGCATTTTTTAAAGAAATTAAACAAAAAATCATCAGATTTATATGGAACCATAAAGGACTCTGAATAGCCAAAGCAATCCTAAAAAAAAAGAACAATGCTGGAGGTATTACACTCCCTGACTTCAGCTTGTACATGGCAACACTAATCAAAACAGTATGGTATTGGCAGAAAAACTGACACACAGACCAATGGAATAAAATTGATAATCCAGAAATAAACCCACATAAATATGGACAAATAATTTTCGACAAAGAAGCCAACAACATACAATGGAGAAAAACAGCCTCTTTAATAAATGGTGCTGGGAGAATTGGAAAGTCATGTGCAAAAAAATGAAAATAGACTGCTATTTGTCATCATGTACCAAAATTAACTCAAAATGGATCATAGGCCTGAAACAATACACTGCATAGAAGAAAGCATAGGTAGTAAACTTATGGATTTTGGGTTCAAAGAGAATTTTATGAATTTGACTTCAAAGGCAAGGGAAGTAAAAGCTAAAATAAATGAATGGGGCTATATCAAACTAAAAAGCTTCTGCACAGCAAAAGAAACCATTAACAAAATAAAGAGGCAACCAACCGAATGAGAGAAGATTTTTGCAAACAACATCTCCAATAAAGGGCTAGTATCCAAAATATATAAGGAACTCATATAACTCAACAACAAAAAACCAAACAATCCAATTAAAAAATGGCAGAGGACCTGAATAGACCTTTCTCCAAAGAAGAAATACAAATGGCCAGTAGACATATGAAAAGATGCTCAACGTCACTAATCATCAGAGAAATGCAAATAAAAACTACAATGAGATATTACCTCATACAAATTAGAATGGCTATCATCAACAAGACAAATTATAAGTGTTGGAGAGACCATGGAGAAAAAGGTACCCTCATACACTGTTGGTGGGAACGCAGGTTGGTGTAGCCACTATGGATGGCAGTGTGGTGGTTCCTCAAAAAATTAAGAATAGAATTACCATATGACCCAGCAATCCCTCTCCCGGATATCTACCTAATAAATCTGAAAAGATTTATCCATAAAGATATATATGCTCCAATGTTCATTGCAGCTTTATTTACAATGGCCAAGAACAAACAACCAAAGTGTCCTTTGACATATGATTGAATAAAGATGTTGTGGTATATATACACAATGGATTACTATTCTGACATAAGAAAAGACAAAGTAATGCCATTTGTGACAACATGGATGGATCTTGAGGTTATTAGGCTAAGCAACATAAGTCAGACAGAAAAAGTTGAGAACCACATGATTTCACTAACGTGGGATATAAAACTGAAAGCAACAAAGGAACAAGACAAACAAACAAAGAAATAAAAACTGATAGACATAGACAATAATAGATTAGTGGTTACCAGAGGGTAAGGGAAGAGGGTGTGGTAGATGAAGGTCAATGGGGTCAAATATGTGGTGATGAAAGGAGAACTGACTCTGGGTGGTGAACACACAATGTGATATATAGATGATGTATCACAGAATTGTACACTTGAAACTTGTGTAACTTTACTAACCATTGTCACCCTAATAAACTTTAATTTAACAAAAGTAGTAATTGGTGCTTTCAAATGAATTATGTAAACTCAAAAATAATTGCACATGTTTTTGTAAGTATTTATTCAGCCTGCATATGAAGATTGATGCACACACGAATCCTGGGACTCCTTGCAGTGACTCTGAGTCAATCAGGCGAGAAGAGGCAATGATGCTATGAGAGTTGGGAAGTAGGCCAGTAAGTGGGTAGAACATAGGGAAAGAGAGTCTGGGTTAAGAATGCAGAGTTGCAGCTGAGTGGTTTATTAACACATGGCAGGTGTATCCAGGAAGTAATTCTTGGAAGACCCTGGGGCAATAGTCAGATTCCTTTCACGGAAACATTGGATCATAGACTACAAGGGGAAGCCCATCTACAAAGTCCCTCCTGAGAAGAAGGAACTCACTGTACAAATGCAAACTTTTTAAAACTGGGGCTTAGTGCATGTTAGGGTGACTTGATGTTGACTTCAGAGTGACCTGGAGAGCAATGTGTGTGGGTGCTGGTGGTGAAGGAGATGCTCATAGTTACTGCTGCTTCCCATGTGCCAGGAAATTTTATGCCCATAACACTTAACTCTTCATAATACACATAACCCTGGGGAGGCTGATATTGTCAGCCCAGTGTACAGATGAGAAACGAAGGCTAGAGAGGTTAAATAATTTTCTTGGGACACATGCTTATAATGGTGGAACCTAGAATTGGGACACATGACTCTCTGGCCGCAAAGCCTGTGTTTCATCCACAATATCACATTACTTAAGTATTTTCTACTTCAGGTCATCAGCTCTTGGAGTAATAACTCAGGGTGAATAATAACTGCAAGAAAGAGGATAGGTACAGAGGCTAGTAATTTGATGGAACCCGGGGCCCTATTGTTCTTCAGTGTTCACTTTAGACTTCCTCTTCTCCTTTCATCTTTGGAACTGTGCTGAGTGGAGAAATGGTGTACTAAGATATTTGAGTAAAAAGCATATTCAATACATGATTTCTGAACTTCCAAGCTGCTTTCCAAGACTCAAGATATTCTAATAAGTTTGAGCTATGTGTGCATCTTCAATGTATGAAGCTCCTTTTACTCCTAGTTTTTAATTATTATAAAGAAGAAAGTTGGTTAAAATATTCATCATGAACTTACAATGCAACTACAGACTTTAGGGCAGGATTGCCTGTTTTTAAATCCTGATTCTGCCACATACGAGTGATATGACCTTGAGGAATTTACTTTCAGGTCTCAAGTTTCTCATCTGTAAAATAAGTTTAATAAAATATTTACCTCATTGATTTATAGTGAGGATTAAATGAATAAAGTGCTTAAATTAATGCCTGCTATCTAGATACATTCAATAAATGTACCAAAATGGGTGTCACAAAGGAGGGGAAAACAGCCTGAAAATTATAAAATAATAAAAGAAAAGAGGGAGAAGAGCTGCTTGCTGATGCTAATTGTGTTTAGCTGCCCACACTTTCTTCGTTATTTCCTTCTTTCCTTCCTCCCTTCTTTCTTTTAAAAAATATGTAAGTTTTGAGGGAGCAGCTACTATGTACCTGGCACTGTTCTAGGTGCAACAGATGCAGAGATAGCACTCAAATAGTGGAGGCTGAGATACCACCTGGCTTATATTGAGTTCCTTTGAAGCAGAACTGGAAACAGGGGCCCAGGTGCAAGTGACTAAGGGAGCACTCTCAGAGGAAAGGAAGTGAGAGAAGCAGGATGGGATGAGGGGAGAGCTTGGAGAGGATGTGGTCTCCGTTGGAGCCTGACTTCAGCCTGACATAATGGAGGACTCCAGAATTGTCCTCTAGAGTTGGTCCTGTCTTGAGGCAAGGTGAAGATGGGAGTGCCAGCTCAGCAAAGGATACCTGGGCAGAGCATTAACAGAGTCATTATGCTACCCAGGGTGTCTGGGGAAAGCGGATGGAATATGAAAGATGGTGCTTATCTGTTGCAGTTGTCAAATACACAGGAAGCAGTTTTTATGTTTTTTGTTGAAACTGTTCAAAATTTATACTTCTCAACCACTTTGGAAACTTGCTATCATAGCTTGTGTCTGACATAGCTGTCTAGGGTTTATATGTGTAGTAATAGGCACAAAGTAAATAATTAACGGAGTTAATTTTTTTTAATTGTAGTGTAAACTGTAGCATAGGAAGAATTCTATATAAATAATGGAGAACTTGCTATTTTAGTGTCCGCGATTTTCATGCTGAGGCCAGCTTTAGATTACATAAGTTCCGATGATACGATAATATATATTCTTCCCACCCTCAGTACTAGTTTTCAATACCTTATGCCAAGGATAACAGAATAATGTCTATCATTATAGTACAGCACCTGAATATGCTTTAGCTTATTCACTTTTCATCAAGTTTGGTAAACCCGTCTATCAATCTTGGAAAATCCACCTATCTTTTTTTTCATTAATCGTTCCCTTCGTTGTTTCACTCAATCACTCTAATTTCTCATTCCCAGATGCTTCCCAGATCAGGTACCTGGTGCTCTCATACTATCTCTTATCTGACTGCCTCCCTTAATGTGACACTTCACCAAACTCCTTTAAGTTTATTGTTATTGAAACTGATCAGCACCTAAGGGAGGGGCTTTCTGCCAAAACTCTGAGCAAGGCATCCTTGACCTCTTTGTTTCTTAGGCTGTATAAAACAGGGTTTAGTAGGGGGGTGATGACAGTGTAGGTCACAGAGATGAGTCTATCCTGCAGGGAATTTTGGGATTTGGGTTTTAAGTAAATGAAGGAGGTACAGCCATGTTGGACAATGACCCCTGTGAGATGTGAGGCACAAGTGGCAAAGGCCTTTTTCCAACCCTCAGCAAATGCAAACTTGAGGATGGTGGTGACAATCTGGACATAAGAGATAAATATCAATGCCATGGGCAGAACAAGGACACACAGACTGATGAGCAAAGTGATAAATTCTTTGATGGTAGCATCAGCATAAGCAAGCTTCATTGGGGGTTGGATGTCACACAAAAAAACAAAAACGGTAGATGACATTAACATTGCAGAAAGGAAGACTGAACACAGAAGACAGTTGTATGATGGCTGTGCTCAGGCCAATGCTCCAGGACCCACTTGCCAATTGTATACAAGTCTTTTTGCCCATGATGGCTCAATAATGTAGGGGGTTGCAGATGACTATGTAGCAGTCGTCTCCCATGTGCACAGTTCTGGAACTCCACCAAAACTCACCAGGAATGGCCCAGGGCAAAGAAACATACCTAAAGGGAGGGTTCAAGCCAGGGACAGATTCTCTATATGAGGCACACTTCTGGGAGTAAAGAGGCCAGCTTCAGCTCTGGTCAGAAGGGTTTAGTAAGTTAAGGTACATAATGTTGCCCCTTCTCATGGTTTAAATTTAAAATGGTTAATGTCTGGAATAAGTCAGTGAGAGGAGACACAACTTGTTTTTTTTTCTTGAGGAGATGCTAGTGTGTGGACCCAGGACATCTTGTGATGTAGAGCCCGTTCTCTTTTCAGTCCTGCTTCCCTCCTGTGTTTTTCAAATACCACTTGTTTTATTACCTGAGTCTCCTTTTTTTCTGTGTGAAAGGTAGTTTCTGCTTCTATTTGCCAGTCTCTAGTTAAGCACAAAAGAGTCTGAAACTTATGAAGGATCTGAAGTACCAGTAATTGTAAGAAAAAAAGTGATAAAAACAACAAAATATTTAAATTTATATAAATCTCTGGCTTTAACCGCTGTGTAAGTGGAGGGATACTTGATCTTCTTTGCCTACTCCATTTGTCTCATTTCTCATGTATACAATGGAGAGAATAATATCTACTCACAGTGTTACTATGGTGATTATGTGAATTATTGTATATAGCCAAGTAAAGTTCTTGATATATAACTGACTACCATTATAAGAAAGGGCCTCAGAGCCCAACTATGTTTAAGGATGCAGCTTCGTTAGGCAAGCCACTCACACCTTAGGCTTTCTGTACCATAAGGGCTGAAGGATCTCTCTCTGAAGGACCTTCCAGTGTGAATGTTCTAGGAATGGTGATTCATTTATTCACTGATTCTTTCAACAAATTTTCATTGAGTGCCTCTCACATGCGTGGTACATGGAATATAGCAGAAACTGGGAACATGACATTTACACTACATGGCAATTCTGCTAGATTTCCACATCATACTCCAAGCCATAACTGGGTATTGTGTAAGAAAAACAATGAGCTGTCTCCTTGAGGAAGATCAGAAAGGCCTCCTTGGAATAATTATTGCATTTCCCCTTGTTATCTCTCCCATAGTTTAGGCAGTCAGCAAACTCAGCCTTGTCTGCCTTTCATAATGCAAGCCTAAGAGGTGTCTTTCCAAAGGTTGAAGGAGAATCAGATATCAAATACACCAATTTTCCCCTGTAAGTTGAACTTCAGTAATTCTTAGTTCTGATACCCAGTTTATGCCTTTCTCTCTTATTAAAATTTTTTTTATTAGTTTCAGGTGTACAAAACAATGCACTAGTTAGACATTTACACCCCTCACAAAGTGATAACACCCCTACCCCAATCTACTACCCCTCTGAAATTATATATAGCTGTT